CTGTGGGTTGGAACTAGGTTTCTAACTACAAGGTTGGTGGTCCAAACCCACCAGCAGCTCCATGGAAGAAAGATCAGGCTGTCTGATTCCATACTGATTGACAGTCTTAGTGTGGTGCAGTGAATTATTTGATATGGCTCTTCTAGCCATAGTCTTTTGAATTCCCATGAAGCAACTGGACAAAAAGAGATACATATGGTATATGAAATTCTAACATGGAGATTGGTCAATGTTGCTATTCCACTAGATTTTACATGAGCTATCTCAGAAGCTGAGGAATTGGGTAATGTCACTACCATTAAGAAGCAAGAGGAGTGTGTCCTTTGGGCCCTGAGATTACTGTGTGCAGACTCCCTCAATCAATCTGGGACACAGAGCTATCATACTGGGGGAGTGGCAGAGGAGTGGTGGCAGTAGATGAGCAACCACTTGAGACAGAGCAGTGGGTTTCCAGGTCCATGTAGCAAATAAAACTGAGTTCCTCCAGGCAGGCTTCAACGTTGGCAGGAGGCTTGCTTGCTGAGGGATGAGGCCCAGGCACTTAACTGATGAAGCTAGGTTTGCTGCTGGCTGTTGGAGCCAGAGCTGAGGCTTATGGTGGAGTAGCATGCCTTGGGGTCATTTAGTGATGGTGCTAAAACAGCCTTGTAACATGGAGCAGGACAGAAACCAAAGGTCATGTGGCTGAGAGTCCAGGACCAAAGAGATGTGTGCCTGTAGCCACAACCAACAAGAGGTACTCCAGACCAAAAGACCATATTCTGAGCATTTCTGAACCTGACCTGTAATATGTTAACTTCCCTGATAAGCAGAGCAATTATGAGTATAATCTGTGAGTTATGTGTAGCATTGTGATGAGTCATGGACCACAGCAGAGAAATAGAAAGTGTTTGGAGTGGGAGCAATTGTTGCTGGAATTGGCAGGCAAAGTTGGAGGACAAAAGGATGTCTGACCTACACTTTAAAGGAATCAGCCTTGGGCTGATGTTAAATTTAATTCTCCTTCAGCTCTGTGAAGATAGAAGTCAAGTAAAACCCTTATACCATTACTATGCTTTGAAACTCTAAAGAGCAACTCCACTCTGTCCTGTAAAATGCTGTCTTGTAGTCAGTAGGATTCAGAAGCGATTTAATAATATTGAGTTGGTTGAGGTTTTACAAATATCGCCTTAGATGATGAGCATTCTTTTCTGGCAGGAAGTTAGGGACAAAGAGGTTGAGTAACTTGCCTAAAGTTACAGAATAAATCATGGTTGAGCAAGAACTAAATGAGATCTTATTTGTTTCTCCTATCCTGTAAAAATCCGTCAGTCTCCTCTGGTCATCGCATAACAACCATACACGAGAGAGTAGAACGATCGAGTGTTCTAGGTGGTAATCTTTTTTCTTTTTCACACGTTGTGCTGAAGTGCACTGCATGCTCTCTCTCACCCATGGATTGGCTATTCGCTTCCAACCAGTAACTGGTGAGCCAGAAAACATTTACCCTTAGTACCACAAGGGTTCCTTTGAGAATCATTTCAGATGCTCAAATTACAACAGCCTATTTGGAGATAAATTAAAACTGATCAAAATTCAATGATTAATTTCATTAAAATGCACATGATTCTTAACTTTGGAAGTATTTTCACATATAGTATCTATGATACTCATTTAAAAAGTAATTGATTTGTGGCATACAGTTGGGTCACAGTTTATCTGCTTGCTTCTACCTGCCTCTGTCAGCAAAGGACATCATTCTAATTAGTGTGAGTAACATAGAGTCTTTAAAAGATAATTATAAATACCCAAGTGCACATTATGTACAGATTTCAATAGTTTTCACTTAGGTCTTAGATACTGAAGATAGAACACTTGATTGAAATGAAAGCTAGCATCTGTTTACTGATCATTCCCTTCACTGTCTTGTCACATGAAGGACATGATTTCACATCGCCTAGCAGAGTCTCGGGGTCGACACACTCTGAGACTGAAGAGTCAATCCTGTCTCTCACAACAATTGAACATTGAGAGCCATAAATATATTTTTACAAACAAACAAAATTACCATTATCTGAATAATAGCCTTTAATTTTTTTATTTTTTATTTTGCTTCAGAGCTGCAAGCACATACCCAAAGACCAAGGTACGGCCCGAGGGCTGCAGTTTGCCTAGCGCTGCTCTAGATTACAGGTTCCCAATCGTATATGGCCAACATCCCCTTTCTGAGGAAAACATGTACTATTTCCCATTGGCAGTGAAAACCTTTGTACTATAGCCCATAATCCAGGATGAAGTGTAGGTACCTAGTTTTTTTAAATGTCTCCCCCGCCTTTGGATCCTTCCAGCATCCTACCTAAAGGGGGATGGGAAATACTGATCCAGACACAGGACCTCTCACCTTCGACATAGGAAGGGGCTTTCAAAAGTTCATAGAAACATTCCATTATCTTTGAATTCAATTTTTACATACATTTTTGAAGTCCTTTCAAATTTCCAAAATAAAAGAAATTGGTCAAAAATTAATGCTAGTGTTTAAAAATTGGTCTGTTGCATATCTCCATTAATAATAAAGACATTCTAAATAGTCCCTGTGACTAATTTGACCTATTTCATCTGTGCTTTCTCTAAGAATTCAGCTAAGCTTTTTTCTAGATCCTTTTATTAGCAATAGAATACGCTATACAAAAAAAGATAAAATAAGCTTATTTTGATACGTTCATTAGCAGTCTGTATGTTGTCTAGCCTCTACAAAACCCCAAACCAAGCCAAACTCGCTGCCATCAATCAATGCTGACTCACAGCGACCCCTGTGGGTCCAGGACTGTAACTGTTTTCAGGAGAAAGCTCAGTCTTTCTCCCTGGGAGCTGCTTTGGTCTTGAGTTGGCAACCATGTGGATTGCAGCCCAGGGCGTAGCCACTACACCCTCAGGGCTCCTAGCTTCTACAAGGTGCCTCAACATCTATCACAACTGAAAAAAAATTAGGAATTCCTCATTTTTATTGAACCTGTCAGTATAATGCAAGCAATCAGTTACAGTTTCCTTTTGTGGTTTAAAGTAATGCTTAATTATGTTTACATGTTAAATATTAAATTTGTGGTTATTTCGGTTTCAGAATTGCTTTCAAACTCTATCTTAACTTATGCTTTACACTCAACGTTGTCGTGGGATTGTTCTGTTGTTATATGTTCTTTCAAAACATTATTTAAAGTCTTTTCAAATTAAAACTCCTTTTGGGTCCGTACACTAAAATACCTGGGTCATGTATGGTCATGGTGTTACAATCATACTAAGTGGTTGGTGTGTTAGGCTGACTTCTCTAGATAAGAAAAACTAGTGAGAAGGAGAGAGAATACAACATTATATCAAGAAAATGGTGCACAGTTGTAGAAACGGGTAAATACAGTCCATGTCTAGGTAGATTCCAAGCCTGTGGATCCTAACTCCCATAGCTTTGGGAGGGGATGAACCCATGATCAGCAAGAATAACACAGACTGGTGGCATCAGAGGAAGGTGAATTCAAGGTTAACTGGCTGGATGACAGGTCAGGTGGCAGACCACAGATGGCTCCTGGGATCAGCAGGCAATATGGCAGCTCAATGTCTCAAATCCAAAGAACCAGAGGTCAAGAGCCAGATTCTGGATCCAGACCCAGCAAAAACAAAGCAAAACAAAATAAAACTTGTCTACAGCATCTCTTTATATAGGTAGTAGGCTATACCCTCATGGAAGCATCCGTTCAATTTTATCAGGGCTGTGACTTGAATAAGGAGTTACATTCCACCCTAATCTTTTT